CTTGATCTACAATCCATTTTCATTAGCCCAAAGAGCCAGAGACACTGGGTAAACCTGCTGCACAACACTTTGGGGTGTTGAAAACAAGGATGTGGCTTTGAAGAGTTAGGTGCACCAGACCCAACCCATGGTATTTTCAATTGCCCCATAGATACGTCAAAGTGGGATATGAAATAAGGAAAACAAGAAGAATTGACGCATCTGAACTGCGGTGCTGGAGAAGTATATTGACAGTGCCATGGACTGAAAAAGGGCAAATAAATCTATATTGGAAGAAATACTGCCAGAGTGCTTCTTAAGGCAAGGATAGTGAGAATTCCTTACAAACTCTGAACATATTAGGCAAGACCAATCTATGGGGAAGAACATTGGGCTTGGTAAAGTAGAGGGGCTGCGAAAAAGAGGAAGACTCTCAAAAAGGTGAATTGGCACAGTCCCTGCAACAATGGGCTCAAGCTTAAGAACAGTTGTGAGGATGGTGCAAGAGTAGAGAGTGTTTCCTACTGGTGTGCATAGGATAACCAAGGGTCGTAACTCAATGGCACCCAGCAGAAGCAGGTTTATGTATTGCCTGCCTTCTCTATTAAAATGAAACACCTGGAATGCAGTACCATGTTTACCTAGCTTGGATCAATGTAAGCAGGTTCAACGTTATGGATAAAACTCATTAACATCAATGGACAGTTGAAGGAATGGATCTTTTATTTTTATCCAAGGTGCAAAGATTTGTACTGAATTAAGGGAAGCAATGACTCCCGAGTCCAAAATATTTGTTTCATGACAGACTCTGTCATATCAAACTGATTCCACGGAAGTAACACTGTCGGCTTGCTTTGTTCATTATTGTGCAGGTTAATTTGAGTCATGCCCGTGTGCTGGTCTTTTCTCTCAGCAAGCAGAGCTGGATCTCCATAGACATTCTAATTGTATGCTCCTTAATTGTACAACAAAGTGTTTGGCTTGCCCTTTGTCCCCTGAGAGCTCCACGACTGAATAACTCCTTTCTGGCTCCTAGTTTTTAACCTGTCCCTTTCCCATATAAATCCAACGGGCATCATAATAAAGCCAAAAGCCAAAAGGTCAGAGCCCCTTTGACCATTATTTCAGATATCTGATCATTACTACCTGCTTCTTTCAAGAGTGACGTGCCTTAAAATTGTACTATTTCTGAGAGACTTAAATAGTGAGTAAGGAAAGGGTTTGCAAATAATAATGGGATTGATTATCATTAAGATTACTACTCTTATTTTCCCATTTCATTAGCAATCTCCTTTTGAGAGGCTTTTTCTAGGGGTCACTTTTTAAAACATTCGATTGTATACATGAGTATGTTGAGTGGCTATTTATGAAGTCAGAATAGGAGATTAAGGCTCAGAATTCACATTAGCGAATTCCAAAGCCAGTAAACCCTTTTCTTTTTTTTACGCCCCTCATGCCAACCAGACACCTCAAAACTTTTGGATAGGCGATAAAAAAGAACTTCAAAGTAGGATATCTATTGTCTGTCATGAGCTGAGTTCTGATGAGAGAGTCCCAAAGGTATCAGAGAGAAGACTAGCATGTTACATTGCTCAGGGGGAAAAAATATCAAATCTAGTCAATGAAAATTTGCCAGGACAGAGGTAAACAGAAAAACACAACAAGGTAGACATTTGTCATTTGTAAGTTTAGACTTTTGTGAAAACGTTTCTTGATTATTTTTATTTTTAAAATATGTTTAAACTATTTGTTTCATATAGTCAAAGGTAACATGTGAGAAATCCCATGGAGACCCAACTGGAACATTTGAATTTATTTTATGGCATAGTGGAAAGGAACAAGATGGCTTTGCAAACTTCCTTTGACAGGTAGCAAACTACATGACATTGAATAAGTTATTCAAACTATTTCTATCTCGGTTCTCTCCATCAAAAATGTGATAAGTTGAATTATTTTGATAATTTCTATATTTGATGAGAAAATCAAGTAATCTATCAATAGGAAACGTTATAATAATTTGAATGCCTATAGTAATATTTCAAAAGAGCACAACAAAAGAGGAGAGAATGCTGTTGGAGATCAGTTATGGAATGTGTTGAAATAAATGGAGAGCTGTGAAAACACGGAGAGCAGAAGAGAACATGCAGCAAGGAGGACACCTGAACTCCAGACATGATGCTGCCGCTAAAGACTTGCCTGGTGCTACACGACCATTTTCTAAACTATTAGATGGACTGGCGGATTGATTGTCATATAAATGGGATCACTTTCAGGGTGATGCTTAAGTGAATGAAGCACCAATACACTCTCCGAGAGAATGGAGACTCAAAAGCGCACATAATTTGCATCATTTGGTGTCTGCGTCTCAGCCCACTAAACATGCAGAGCTCAGGGAATGTGTCTTTATACCACTGGAGGCCTGGAGTTTAGCCTACAAGGTGGAACCATGTAGTCACTTCCTTACTGCTTATGGAGAGAATGACTGAGGGAACAACAGTCAGCACTGATCTACCTCATTGGCTAAGGTCACTAAAGATCCACATTATCTTAAAATTGTTCTAAGATTTGAGGGAAAACGATTTGGATTCAATGTAAGAATTACAGATGCAGTTTTTTTCATTCAGTGAAGATTGAGAAATTTATGTTAGCTGCTCAAAGTCATGAAAGGTAGTGAGTATATTGATTTCCATGTGCAAATTTTGTGTCCATATTAGAAAATGTAATATAGAAATCTGACTTCTTTGGTCACTACTTAATTTTGTGATTTTACATAAATCATTTTGTGATTTTACATAAATCATTTTCCATCACTGCATTATAGTTTAAACTGCTTGTGAAGTTGGAGGATTAGGTTGTATGCTATCCCATATCCTTTTTCCTCTAAATCCTATATGCCAGCAATAAATATTCAACAAATTTCATTTTCATAGCCATGTTTTAGGTCCTGAAGACAATCATTGTAATACTAAAATAATACATATACCAACATATTCAGGGTCTTAATTATTAATCTGATTCTGCTTTCTCACTGCTATAGGACGGCCACATAAGATCTATATGATCCCAATGGAAAACAGCACCGAGGTGACTGAGTTTGTACTGTTGGGGTTAACCAGTGACCCACAACTTCAGATCCCATTCCTCGTAACATTCCTTGTCATCTACCTCATCACTCTGGTCGGAAACCTGGGGATGATGCTGCTGCTCTTTTTAGACTCTCATCTCCACACACCCATGTACTTTTTCCTCAGTAACCTGTCTCTGGCTGACTTTGGTTACTCCTCAGCTGTCACTCCTAAATTGATCGTTGTGCTTCTCACAGGGGACAACATTATCTCTTACAATGATTGTGCTACTCAGTTTTTCTTTTTTGTAACCTTTATCACTGTGGAAACTTTCCTCCTAGCATCCATGGCTTATGATCGCTTCATAGCAGTGTGCAAACCCCTGCATTACACCACCATAATGACAAGAAAAGTATGTGCTTATCTAGTCATGGGCCCCTATGTCTGTGGTTTTCTGGATGCTTGCATCCACACTTGGAACATTTTCAGGCTCTCCTTCTGTCGATCCAATGTGATTGATCACTTTTTCTGCGATGCTCCTCCCCTTCTGACTATTTCTTGCTCTGACAGATACATCACTGAGCTGGTAATCTTTTGTGTAGTAAGTTTCAATGTTCTCTCTTCTATCGCAGTAATCTTGATATCCTACCTGTTCATACTGACCACCATCCTGAGGATGCGCTCATCTGAAGGACGCCACAAGGCCTTTTCTACCTGTGCTTCCCACCTCACTACAGTCTCCATTTTCTATGGGACAGCCAGCTTCATGTACCTACAGCCCAGATACAGTCACTCCATGGGCACTGACAAAATGGCATCCCTGTTCTATGCCATCTTTGTCCCTATGCTGAATCCTCTGATCTATAGTCTTCGGAACAAAGAAGTCAAGGCTGCCTTCCAGAGGCTGATGGGAAGGCAAAGTCTCCTGCATGATTGATATTGTGCTTGGCATAATTCAATAGAAGGTGGATTCATTTGACACAGGTTTATCTGTAAAAAATATTTACCTTCTTCAGTAAACTATTTAAAATGTATATTTTTTATAAATGGTGGATAAGGATCTCTGGATGGTTAACGTGTTCAACTGTTCTCCAAATGTTGAGTTTGTGTGCATTTGAGGCACTTGGGAAGTAAGGTTTGATTATTGACTTTTTAAAAACCAGCTACTGAAAATTCTATGAATTGCATGTAGTCCACAAAGGCGATATATTAAATCCTATTTTGATGAGTATTAACTGTGGTCTTAAAAGTTTGGAAATGGTCATTTATAAAGCTATTAGTGCAACTGCTAGTCTTTTCCCATGTGGAGCAAAGAAGAGTGAAAGCATTGTAGATATTAGGAAACAATAAGTCCAACAGATTAATGAACCACACAAACCTCTACCTCCCTAACTCTGAAATAAGAACTAGATCATGCCTGACTACTGGATAAAAGTATTGGTTAAGGGTTGGGCTTTTAACAGCATGATCAGCAGTTAGAAAAGACTAGCCACTCCACAGAAGACAGAAGATGCTTTCTCTGCTCATAAAGCACTACAGTCTCACAGGGGTAGTTCTACCCTGTCCTATAAGGTCACCATGAGTCAAAATCAACTTGATGGTACTGATAATACCTAACTACTTCTTTTGTTACTCGAAATGAATAGAGATCAATTATTGTACCTTGCATGACTTATTAAGAACCCGAGTCTACACAACAAACAGTTCTCATTTTCTCACAATCTTCAAATCTTGGAAATTATATCCTCAATTGGCATCAAGTTAAAGAATTTCATGGGGTTTGTTTTCTCAAGAATTATATTATTGTCTTTAAGAACCACAAAGTTGATATTTTCTTTTGGTGAAATGTTTAGGGAAGAAACACAAAATATTAAAAGCACAGACTTTGTGGTCTGGCTCCCAAATATAAAATATGTATTAAAATAATAAATATTGAATTTGGTTTCATTTTCTACTAATTGTCTAGTCAAACAAATTATTTAATTTGTGTGTGTCTCTGTTCATCTTAAAAATCGAGATGTTTGCGGGTGATATGGAAGTATAAGATACTTGGAAAACTGCCTAGCATAGTAAGCACATGTTGGGTTGTTACTGCAAAGTCAGCAGTTCAAACCTACCCATCACTCCTCAGTAGAAAGATGAAGCTATCTACTCCTGAAAAGATTTTACGTCTTGGAAACCTACTTGGTTGTTAGCAGTCTAAATCAACTCAATGGCAGTGAATGTCACAACTGTCAACTCTTATTATGGTAATTAACATGGATAGTTATCCATCAAGCAGGATTGGGTCATCTGCATATGGCAGGTGGTGGTTGAAAATGTATACAACCGAACAGGTACCAATTCAACCATTTCTATCTGCAGAGTTCAGTAACACTGAATACTCTCTTCATGTTGTGCATTCTCACTCTTTTTCTGAGTAGTTCCTCCTCCCCATTAACAGACACAATCCCAGTGCCACACTCTTCTTCACGTCATCCAGCTTCTCTGATTATTTTCTCAGCGCAAAGATTGAATAAGTATGGTGAGAGGAGATAACCATGATGGACATCTTTCCTGATTTTAAACCATGCAGTATTCCTTTTTTCTGTTCACACAAATGCCCCCGATCCATGTGCAAGTTCTACATGAATGAGCACAGTGAAGAGTTGTGGAATTTCCATTCTTCTTAAGCTTATTCATAGTTTGTTATGATCCACACAGTCCAATGCCTCGGCAAAATTAACAAAACACAAACTACCAAATAAGTAGTGGGTGGGGACCGTGGTGGAAACATATCAGTACCCCAGCTTCACTTTTTGCCATTTCCCCCTTCTTCCATCTTTCCTGTATTGTCCTCTGGTGCTTGCCACATCCCTGACCCCCTCACGCCCACCACCCACCCCCCAAGCAGCATTCATGTACATACAATAACAGTACCAAAGAAGTAAGAATGCCCACACTCAAGGTGGTTTTATTTCTTCACTTTATTTTATTTTGTTGCTTTTGTATTTTTTTCTGTTATAATACGTTCTTTTCTTTATTTTTTCTTTCTTGCTATCTTCCACTTCCTCTTCCAGTGTCCTCTTCTGGTGAGACCCTACCATCCTAATACAAATTCCCTACACATTAAAGCAGATTTTGGCACATCAACCTAAACAAAGGATTTTGCTTGTCTTCCCCTCTCTGAGTATGAAAACATGTTTATTATCAGGCTGCCATAATTACCGAACTACAGCACCCATATCCAAGCCACACCTAAGTCTTTTTGTTCCTGTTATTGTTGTTTTAACATAGTAATTTTATTGATGAACACTGGTATTTAGTTTAAAATAGTAAACATGAACATATCAAATTGTTATAACTGCTCCTTGTATCAAAAGTAATAAACTATTCATTTCTCTTGCATTTATATATATTTTAATAATTTTATTGGGGGCTTGTGCAATTCTTATCACAATGCATTCATCCATCCATTGTGTCAAGCACATTTGTACATTTGTTGCCCTCATCATTCTCAAGACATTTGTTTTCTGCTTGAGCACTTGGTATCAGCTGCTCAGGTTTCCCTTCCCTCCCTGCTCCCCCCTCCCTCATGAACCCTTGATAATTTATAAATTATTATTACTTTGTCATATCTTACACTGTCCTACATCTCCCTTCACCCAATTTTCTGTTGTCCATCACCCAGGGAGGAGGTTATATGTAGAACCTTGTAATTGGTTCCCCCTTTGTACCCCACCCTCCCTCCACCCTCCTGGTATCACCACTCTCAGCACTGGTCCTGAAGGGATCATCTGTCCTGGATTCCCTGTGTTCCCAGTTCCTTTCTGTACCAGTGTACATTCTCTAGTCTAGCCAGATTTGTAAGGTAGAATTGGGATCATGGTAGTGGTGGGTGGAGAGTGGGGTGGGAGGAGGAAATATTTAGGAACTAGAGGAAAGTTTTATGTTTCATTGTTGCTATCCTGCACCAAGACTGGCTCATTTCCTTCCTGCGACCCTTCTATAAGGGATGTCCACTTGCCTACAGATAGGTCCCCAATCTGCACTCCCCCCATTCACAATGATTTGATTTTCTGTCCTTTGATGCCTGATACCTGATCCTTTCAACACCTCGTGATCTCACAGGCTGGTGTACTTCTTCCATGTGGGCTTTGTTGCTTCAGAGCTAGATAGCCACTTGTTTACCTTCAAGCCTTTAAGACCACAGACACTATATCTTTTGTTAGCAAGGGGGCATCAGCTTTCCTCACCACATTTGCTTATGCGCCCGCTTTGTCTTCAGCAATCATGTCTTCAATTGAGGGAATACTTGAGTGAAGACTCAGTGTCCATCTGCTACCTTAATACTAAACCTATAGATATATGCCAGAGATCTATTTCCCCATCCTCATTTAGAAATATATTTACATATGTACATGCCTTTATTTAGACCTCTATAAATGCCCTTTACCTCCTAGTTCTTTCCATACCTAAGTCTTTTGTCTTCTCTACCCTTCGGTCTTCCTTTTCCTGCATATTCACCCACTATCACTTTCTGCCCTCTCTCTTTTTCCTTGTGAAATATATATCCATGGGACTTATTAATTCTGATTACATCTTAAGATAAATTTTCTCATTAGTTTTACAAATCTGTTGGCCTATCCAGAATTCTGGTTTTTATTATTATCATTAAATTCATTTGATTTTCTCTTCTTACCCATCCCACTTTTGCACTTGCCCATGTCTCTCCCCTTTTCTCTATTTCACCACCATATATGTTTACCAGTGTCTTTTATAACACTCCCACATCAGTAGAGAGAGCCAACTAATTCTACATGACGCATCAATACACACACCACTAATACCTCTACTATGATGCCAAGGAAACAGTAATAAACAACAGTGAACCCAGAAAAATCAAGAAAAACCAACACAAACAACTCAGAATCACATAAACTCAGTGGAGTATTCTGAAGAAGAGGCTCTGAAACTATCATAAATAGAATTCAAAAGAATAATGTCATTTCAAGAGATGTGGGGGACCCTCATGAGGACAACTAAAGAAATTAAAAAATGCAAATTCTTAAACCAGAAGATAGAAAATGAGATAACATATTTAAGCAACATAATAAAACACATGAAGGAAAGAATGGGAAAAGAAGGAAAGCTGAGTCAGTGAGTTCAAAGAAAATCACTCTGGCTACAATTGAGGAGAGAAACAATCAACAAGAATAAGAACAAAAAGCAAGGAAATCCAAGGAAAACCTGAGAATGGTGTGGGATACAAGAAGAAATGGAAAATATATACAGAGAAAATAGTATGAGAAATCATGGAAGAAAATTTCACCAACAGCGCAAAGAAGGAAAAAATAACTATTGCAGAACCTGAGAGAACCCAAAGTAAGATTGAGCCCAAAAGAAAATCATCATACCAAATCTATAATTTCAAGGAAAAGGAGAGAATTCTGGAGACAACTGGACAAAAAAAAAGAACAGTCATCTACACAGGAATACTCATAACGATAAGTTAGGGCTTCTCAGCAGAAAATATGCAGGCAAGAAGACATTGGAGTGACATACGAGGAGTACCCCCCAAAAAAACAGAACTGCACTGGGCAGAGTGTAGCTTTTGTAGTATGCATTTTTTCCCACTTGGTGAGCATTGAGCAACTCACTCTGAGTTGGTGCACCCAGTGGCATTGCCTGGGAAGGTTCTCTCTGGTCACAGTGAATTTTTTTTTGTAAAATTAGTTGCGCTCAAACCTTGTTTTTTTCTGATGGCCAAATTAAGAGAATAGCATGCAACTGTGAAATTTTCTTTCCTGCTAGGGAAAAATGCTGCAGAAACTGTTATGATGCTAAACACAGCTTACAATGACAGTGTTATGGGAAAAATTCGAATGTACACATGGTTTTCTTCTTTTAAAAAAGTTGATATGTCAATTTATGATAAACCTTATTCTGGACATCTGTCAACTTCCAGAATACATGAAAATGTTGACTCCTAGTGCATTTTGAGTTCATTCCACCAGGTGAGGCAGTTAATCAAGCTTTCTATTAAGAGGTTCTAAAAAGATTGTGTAACAGTGTGCCACAAAAAATAGGCCTGATTTGTGGCAGACAGGAGACTGGTTTTGCAACCACAACAAGGGCCTGTGCACGCAACCATCTGAGTGCAGCAGTTTGGGGCATAAACAGCATGCATCTCTTGCCCCATGTACCTTACTCACCTGAACTTGCTTTCTGTGACTTTTTTTGTTGTTCCTGAAAATGAAGAGGGACATGAAAGAACAGCAATTTGATGACATAGAAGACTTGAAGGAAAAAGGAGGTGCTGCCAGCCATCCATCCAGATGAGTTTGAAGAATGTTTCCAATAATGTAATTGCAGATTTGATAAATGGATTAAGTGTAATAGAGAGAACTTTGAAGGTGATAAGGCTGTTTTGTAAAATAATTTAAATACATAGATTTGGAAAACAAATTCCGTTTTCAGGAGGAGGAACCACCTCATATATCAAATTCTGAAAGAAAGAAAACAAAAAAAA